CGCCAACTCAGACTGAGTGGGGAAAGAAAGGGGAATGAATTGGACAGGAGGTTATTGGGCCTAAATAGGCGTTTCGTGACTTGCAGTCGAGTCTGCGCGACTCAGCTATTAGAGGGGCCTAATTAGGCGCGGTCTGGCAGCACCCGCAAAAAAATTATAGAAACATATAGCAAATCTCACGAAAAATTTGCAAATCATCCTGGAGTGCTAAAGGAGGAACTCTGGCAGCTGGCGAAAATGGGGAAAATTAGCACGTTAAGCGTGATTCACGCGACAGTTTTACAAGCTGTCGGATCGGAAATGATGAGGCACACCCTACTTTCCCTCTTTACATCATGCTGACCCCAACATCACAAGCCGTTGGGTAAACGAAAACTTTTTCGATTCTTCATTATTCGATTTGTGTGTATAAAATGTACTTAATTTATGTACTGAATTTCAAAATTTGTAGAAAATTTTCTGATAAATAAAAACCAATAATGAAAGAATCTTAAGAAGTATAGGTTTATTTATTTATCCTTTAACAATTAAAGAATCTAAGGGCTGTCCACTGTTCGCTCTCTGAAAACTTTAATCCAGTAACAACATCTTTCCAGGGACTTGATTGCCATAAAGAAGTTGAAAAAAGACTGCAACTTTCATGGCCAATCCCAATGCCATCCACACGCAGTCCCTATTCGCTAAGCTTTCCTCTTCGGACAAGTAGCTCTAATCGTATTTCTCGCAAATGCTTAATGTCTTAAAACCGAGCAGAGTAAATACCAAAGTGGACATGAGGATGAGACAGGGATACTCTGGCCAAAGGATACTCGGAAGGAGACGGCAAAAGCAGCCAGATGAAGCTTTGCTCTGAGTGCAATTAATTAAGCAAAGCTGAAAGTCATGCTCGCAATCCTATCCTTCGGTCCTTCACATACGCACAACTTTAATTGCTTACAAGTTGGAAACATGGTGGAACAAGGCGAGGGGCAAATAACAATTGTAATAAAGCGTCAAGAGCAAAGCAAGAAAAATTGCAACAAATGTTGAACTAAACCATAAAGTGTGATTAATTGAATATTTCTTATGCTGCACGTAGACGCGTCGAGAGCGCACAAAAGAAATTCACTTTAGTGGCAACGATCTCCCCCAAACTCCCCGGTTCCTCTTACCATCAGAGCTCTTCTCCGGTTTTCCCCTTTTCCACATTTTCCAGAAAGACTGAGAGAGTTCGGGCTCTACGGTAGCTAAATTTCTAGCTGGCGGCAATAAATTTAAATAAATATACGATTACGCGTGCGTATTAAGTTGCTTCGGGCCAACGATGCCAGCGAGTCGAGTCCCGGGTCAAGCACAATGGGTGTGATCGCTATGGATCTGTGCAAAAATAAAAGGGTAACGAGTTGAATTTTGGAAAAACAAACATCAATATAAGTTTTCAATGATTCTCTTCATTCAAAACTTTATGAATAAAATTAACTAAAAAGAAGAAAAATGTTTGGGTTGTTTAAACGTTTATATTTTATTAGTTTACTTTAAAGTATCATATAATAACAAATTTTGTAATTTTCATTAAACTTTAACTGACTGAAAATAAAAACAAGTGTTGACAAGTTTTTTATTGATTTCGAATTTAAGTAGATTTATTTTTAAGCCAATTTTGGCCGGCCGATGCCACGGTTTCCAGTTCCAAAAGTGGTGCCTATTTTGTATCTAGAACAATGCCAATGCCTTCCCTTCCCGTCCGCTGATGCTGACGTCCCTCTCTGCTATCCCGTCCTGCTCTGGACAGCCGCTCTTCCTCTTCCTCCGGCGGGCCGCTCGTGGCTCGTTATCTGCTGACTTCTAATTCAGCCACAATAAATCAATGCAACGTGCTGCAGCGGCGAACAGTGGCAACATTTTGCGGCGCAAATGTGTAAGTGGAGTTGATGAGCGTGTGCCCAGGGGCAGAGGCGGCGGTGGGGTAAGTGGGCGTGGCCGGCCACACGACAAAACCCAAAGCGCACACACACAAAAAGTTCTCGCCCCGCTCGACTAATCGAAATTTGTTGGGCATTTGTGCTCATTTTTTATGCCGCCTTGTTGCCGATTTTATTCGCTTTTAATTGGCCATAATAAAAATTTATTGGCCCTAACTTGTTAATGGTTCGTTAATGTTGCGAACTTTTCACTCCAAATCGCTGCTAGCCGTGCATACGCAATGTATTTTAATATTATTACAATATCCAGGTGGGTTGCCAAAAGGTAGCGAACGCAATTAATTGAAACCCCAGCCGATTAATTAATTTCGAATATTGTCATAACCATAGGAATAACACAAACAAAACTAACGTTCTTTTATTAGCTGACGCAAATTGAAAATAATATTTTACTTCCTTTTTTTGGGAACATAATTTAAAACAAGAAGTATAATTTTAAAAACTATGAAATTTTTTAAAAAGATTTTTAGCTTAAAAATAATTGCGTAAAACTTGTTTTTTGTTGAAAATTGTATTAAAATTATTATCAATTACTAACACAGGGTATTATTTTTGTCACATTTCCTTAGCTTGTTTTTTGCGGTCATAAACATAATTTGGAATCGATTAGCTAAAAAACTAAAATATACTAATTGATTACAATTGAAAAAGTTCATAACTGAAGACAAAAGCAATATTTATGCATAATTGAAATCGTTAATTTTTTTCACAAATTCAGGGCAATTATTCAAGCAGATAAGCTGTCAATCGAAACTAATTAAAATGAAATGAGAAATTTAATTTTACTCAAATTTCAAACCCATTAAAATAAAGTTCGAACAAAAAAGGGCTGCTATAAAAACGTATTTTCCATTTTATATTTTACTGAAAAGTTGTTTGGTCTATGCCGTTTTTTAATTAAAATGCGTTAATGTTTGTTTAAGAAAAGATCCTAATTATCCAACTTATTTTAATTACAGACTTGCATTTGTTTATGTTTTAATGAGAGTGACGTTTTATCTTACTTAAAGTTCAGTGGCTGTATTTAAGTGCACTCAAATCTTTAACAGCCCAAAGGCAATAATCATCAGACACTAGTTTTGTGTGGTTGTATTGCTTTTATTTTTTTGTTTCTGAACAAGGAAACCTGCAGCCGAGGGTTCGACTTTCAATTTCAGTCAGACATATGTTCCCAACACGTCCCCCTTTCTTAAAGTTTTCTTTGCGCTCCAACTTTACTACCTCGTTTATTGGTTTGGCCCCCACTTTCAGCAGACAAGCATCGATGTGCATTCGAGTCCTTTGTTGTCACATTTGGCACGAGTCTTGGCCACGGATCATCAGGTGCACAAATGTATCCCAGCTCCGCTTGCCAATTGTTGTTCAGCTTGTGTTGTTGGCCATGATTGGTTTTTATTGTTGCCGTTGTCGACACACGAACACCTTTTGCCACCGACACAGAGACACTGAGACAGGGTCTCCACTGAAAGGGAGACGACAGGTCAGCGGGAAGAGGAAGAGGGGTATCCCGGGAGCCGTCGACATGCAAGCTGCTTTGCATAAGAACCGGTTCCCCTCGTGGATTTAACGTTTTTCTCTTGTTTTCGCTGCGTTTTAAATTGATTGGAGGATTTAATTTCAGTGGCAGCTGCCGTCGCTACCGAAGCTGAACAAATGTCGGGTGTTGAACACCTTTTTGGTTTTTTTTTTTTGGGTCTGGTCAGGCCTCTGCACTAAATTACCGTAAAAATGCGATCCCTCTTCTCATGAGATCAATTTTGTATTTTTTTTATAATTTTGCACATGTTGTGTAATACGAAATGATGGATGAAATGCTTGCCAAAGTGTGGTATATCATATTACTTAAGGCTGGGTTAATGACAGATCTGGCTCAGTAAGGAATAATGCATTAAGTGGTAATATTTTAAAAACTATCGGTAAAACAAGCATTTATAAATTATTGGAATTCCATTTGGAGTGCAGTCGTTTCAACAAACTTTTAAAGAAAGAATTTTAAAAATGCTATAGAAACGAAACAATGCCTGCTAATTTACTTTCACCACTTTTTACATATGTACTTACACTTTTCCCCAAGTGAAAACCACAATGAGAAAAGTCGAGAAAAAATTACGGTTCAATTTGTGCATTTTATTGTCATGAATCATTTGGATTATTATGAATAACTTTTGAGTGGCAGTTGCAGCTTTTTGCGTGCTGAAATTAATTAAGTCTGCAATGCCATGACAACTGCAGCAGAGCGAGCGGGAGGGCAGATGGCGGTGGAGGGAGACAGAGACATAACACACCCTGTCGGCGCGTCATATCCCCCACCCTTTCACCCCAACTGACCCTCTCGCTCGCTCCTTTCAGTCACCCACACAATTTGCAGTTAGTCTGTCCTCGGTTTTTTTTAAGTCTGTTCCATTGTTGGGGTTCTGCTTAAATATGAATTGTGTTGCTGTTTTTTAAGGTACTGGCGGACGTACATACGTCGGCGTCGAAAGCGGAAAAGCGCTACAGCGAATAACGAAAAGTACAAAGTTTGTGTAAGTGTAATATTTATAATATATACCTAAAACGACTATAATTTGTGTGGAATATGTGTACTTTTAAAGTATTACACCTGAAAAAACAACTGCAAATTAAAGTGGGCGCATTGGCACACGCACACAAGGAAAAACCGACCAGTGTGACCGTTTTGGCGTTCGGTATCTTTTCTTTATCTATGGTTGTCAACTACTTAAAAAAAATTTCGACCAACCTTAGTTTAAAATATTTTGATAAGTGATTTACGTGAAATTTTACTGGAATCGTGGAAAACATAAAGCCCGGGTCCAGAACCCACCACTGAAAAACGTATACTTGTAATGCCTAAGGCCAACTTGCGCGGACACAGTTGTCAACTGAGTTTTCCATGTTTTTTTTTTTTTTGTTCTGGCTACCCTTAAAAGTATTTAATTGGTACTTCGAAAAGTATCAGAAACTCAGATGGCAACTCTTTTCGTGTGAAAAGGTTATTGACCAATTTCAAACTTATTGTCAACATAATAAAATAAATCTTTTCCGTTCGTGTAATTCAGCTCCTGAAACGTTAAACACAATCAAACTAAGAAATCCCAAGCTTGGACAAAAAAGGAAAGGATATATATTGAAGTAAAGTATACAAAACCGAGCGAGTGAGCATTTAAGAGGGAAAGCGAAAGCGAAGCGATGGCCAGCGAGGATGTGCAGATCATCAGCGTCATCGATGCCAATGGGCAGAGTTTACCGCTGCACGGCAACAGTTTGGGCGGTCCCTTGGGTCCGCCCGTCAAACAGATGCGTCCCGATGACGCCGAGATCTGCGAGCTGGCGGCTAAAATGAAGGAGCAACATAAGCAACAGGCATCCCGTCAGGCGGCCCTGCAACACTCGAATGGAGGCAGCAATGGAGCCGCCGGCGGTAACATGCAGCCTCCAATCACAAATGGCAATGGTCAGACCAACATCATGAGCTACCTAACCCGACACCAAAAACTACCCAATGGCACCATGCGGGTGGTGCCCGCTTTGGCCCCGAATGGTCGATCGAACGGAGCCATCAGCGATTCGGGATCGGATAAGAAGTCCTCAGCGGGATCCTGTGACGAGGAATCCATCAACGGGCACTTTGGCTGGGCGCAGTTCGGCAAGGTGTCGATACCCTACATCTTCAGGCAGTCGGAGAAGTACTGCTCCGTGCGGATGATCGAGCTGAAGCTGCTGGGAAAATACCTCAACGGCCTGCACCCGGACATCTACTCCAGTTGCACCGGCGTTCGAAGCTTTTACATCACCGACGCCGAGGCGCGTCTCTTTATAGAGATTAATCACAAGCACTGCGATGGGGAATTCGGTCGGGACATATTCAACCAGAAGGACCTGGTGGTAAGACTGAGCGATGCCTCCGAATTCTATCAGTTCCTTGACACCTGCTACTGCAAATTGGTGTCGGGTAGCAAGACCTCTTCGGAGAAATGTGGATTCATTTGCATCAACAAGGAGTCCGTGGTGCCCTACACAGTGCACAATAACCAGCAGGTTGTGCCGCTCTTCTACTTCGAAGGCGAAACTGAGAATTTGAAGACCAAGGCGGAGTTGCTCAATGGCTGGGATTTGGCCTATTTAAAGTTCGTCTGCAAGGTGCAGGGCATTCGCAACGAGCTCTTCTCCAGCGAAAACGTCCCCGTGATATCGCTGACTGACATCAAGAGTTACTTCCCCAACGTCACCTTCGAGGATTATTGGCCCAGCAAGCTGGTGGACTCGAATTTGCTGATTGGCAACCGGGCGAATGTCAACAACTCTGTCAACTGGACCCGTCAACCACCGGCGCCACCACCGAAGGTAACGAATACGGGATCATCCGGAACATCGGGCTCTTCGTCCTCCTCGAGCGGTGGCAACGGCTTGGGCCAGAACTCAAGTTCATCCTCGAATTCGGCGAGCGGCCAACAGGTGTCCTCGAAGTCACAACAGCTACAACAACACGCTTCGGCGATAGCTGCGGCTACCGCGCAGCAACAACATATTATGAAGCAGCGCGCAGCCGCAGCAGCTGCCGCAGGCGCCGCCCACGGGGTGGCAAATGCGCCCAACACTTTTAAGGAAGCTACGGTGGAGGCCTTCAATACCCAAGCGGCGACAGAGGCATTGCTGCAGCAGTCGCAGAACACCTTTCTTTTAATAATGGATTTATCACATCGTTATAATCACACCTTAACACCAAACCTTTTACCGTAAAATGATGGGAGGATCCTGTAAATATAATATCTACGAATAAGTAATACTTTTTATGTAAATTTCAATGACATTTTTTGAATGAAAAAAAAAAAAAGTTTAATTTGATTTCTTCCAAGATTAAAAGAATCTTTTTTCAGAGCACACCCCTTAATAAGGCCCTGTAGTAATATTGTAAAACTACATATTTGATCGATTTGGCTAATACTGGACTTATTTATCAAATTAGGTCACAACTTAGAACTCTATTTAAAACCAAGTTTTTTTTGCTACCATCGATAAGGGAGAGCTAAGATTGAATTTTGCAGCTCAAGAAACTTAAAAATTCTAAGCGTTCAGAAACGGAATGGGGGTATTTTTGTTACTGTACAGAGGGTTTTCTCTAGAGAGTGCATGACCATGTTTTTTTGGCCTCGCTTGTACACAAACTTACATGCTGGGCCATATACACATACATATGTATGTGGTTAAAATATCGGGAATACTGGTTTACAGAGAATAAAAATAAAATAATATAAAAAATTTAACATACATATTAGGTAATAAATATCTTTAAGCCGTTTGTTGCTTGTTAGAAGGCTTAAAATGTATGTAGTGACTATATAATTTTCCAGGGTATAAACACTACGTATTAAAACTATTACTTTCTGCTTATACTTGAGCATATTTTTCGCTTTCATCGAAGGCTGTCTGCCACAGGGACTAACTGGGACCAAAGGGGAGGGAAATTCAGACAGACTCGTGACCAGGACGAGGAATCAAGCCAAGCCGAAAGTCAAGCTGGCCCACAGCACATGGCCAGGTCGGCACAAATATGGTTTTTATGCCGGGTCATAAATGTCAATTCCCAATGCATGTTTGCCACTATTTAGATTCCGGTTTTACCATTCCTCACTATGGTTTTTTGTTGTATTTTTGTATTTTTATAGTTTACGGTCAGTCCCAGGTTTGTTGAACTTTGCAATTGCTGAGTCATTTGGTCTGTCGCGTGCCTCTGGCTCTGTAAAATGGGGTGAGGGAAGCGGTTACAATTGTGGGCGTGCCTGTGGTTAGTCAGCCCATATGTGTGTGTGTGAGTGTCCTTGAGGGGGTGCGGTGGCAAAGGGGGAGAGCGAGTGGTAGTGGAAATCGGGAAGTGGGAAGTGGGCAGGCGAATGCACACAATCGAGGAAAGGAAAAGTGTTTGTCTGGCTGCCAGGAATCGGTTTGGGTCCAAAGCTGATGATAATGAGAACAAAAGAGCTTTTGTCGGGGTTGGTTATGGCTTTTCGAAATAATTGAATAATTGCTGCATGAAGAAAATTGAGGAAAAAGTATTTTGTTACTCATGGCGAAATGATTGCATGTTGGGTTTTTGATATGTGCTGCACCCAAAGATTTTAACAATCAGACAGTCATAAATTACTGAAAACTTCTTGTAAATATACTTCAGATAAAAATCATTCTTGCCATAAATATGAACTTATTTTACAACGTAATAATAACAATGAGTTTTGTATGTATCAACGAGGAAGGGTTACAACAGGATCAGGAAGTTTTACCTTTAATTTTTGTATTTTGATTGAGTCCAACGCGTCGCAGCGTTATAAATTAAGTGGAAATGAAGTGAGCACTTGAATTTCAATTGGAGTGGTCTCGGCAGAGCAAAACTCAAGCCCAAAACTCGACATCAAACCAAAGCTTACGACCAGAAACCAACCCCCAAGGGAGTAAAATACAATTCCTGGCCGAATTTCGAGCTATAAATAAGAAGCACAACAACAAGACGAACAGAAAGAATACATTATTCCCCACATTATTCCACTTTTTGCGGTTGCTGGAGAAAGGGTTCTTGTTGCTGGCCCCTGAAATTGTTTGACTAATGATTATTTAAGTGAATTACCATTAAGAGCTCCGTTTCTCAGCTTCTCTCCGGGCAATTTGGCCTGGAGTGTAATTGTATAATTGTTGACGAATGTTTTAGCATTGTTTCTCGCCTCTCCTTTTTGCCTGTTCTCTGGCTTTATTAATATTAATAAAGTTGATTAAAAGGCTTACACAGAAAACTAAACAAAGACACTTATGTATATTCTCAAATACTTTTAAGTGTTTGCTTACGGTTCGTTTTAAGTGCAACTTGTTATAATCCTATTATTTTGTCAGAAATCTCAGAAAACATTATTAGGTAGAAGCTAATTAAATGAGTTGTAAAGCCATTTATTTGTTTGATGTACAATTTAGCAAGTCTGTTTTATTTATAGTTAAAAATTTAACAGTTTTTCCACTAATTTCCTATACTTTACAATGCCGGTTCATTCAACGCTTTTAGTATTGCTAATACTAATGCTTTTAATAATACTTAGAGGAGTTTCTTTATCAAAACAAAGCTCTTTATAAAGCAGTCGGCTTCTCAGAAACCAAATTCCTTGCCACAACGGACCAATGCCTGATAAATGCATGAGTGATGACCAGTTTTAAACTTGGAGCTTGGTCGGCTTTCAGATTGCCAGCCCGAGTGCAACTTCCCATAAACAGGCGTCGCTAAAGCGATTTGCCTCGGTTGCAAGTTGAGCTTCCCCACGGAACTCCCCGTTCCCAGGCCTCTGAGGCAAGTGAGGCAAGTGCCGCCCAAGTCGGGCGTAGCATGTGGCACAAAGTTGTCAGGGGAGTTGGGCGAGATAAGCACAAATTAGTGGTAAATTAAGGCATCAGCATTGCTTATCCACTCGGTGCATTGCAAAAGGATTCTATTGATTTCTACACTCGAATTCTAATTCCCTTTCTTATTTTGAAATAAAGGAATTCTAGTTTGGATTGGTTTTTCTTTTCCCGCATATTTTTAAAAGAACTCCTTAGAGTTTAATTTTCTGTCTTAACTTTTCAAGCAATACTTAGGATGATAAGGTAAACAATGCCATATTCTTGGTAGTCTGTGATTAGTTTAAGCTCACTTTTTGCCTGTGTAGATTCGCAACAAAACATGACAAACTCCAGGGAACGTGGCAGTGTCTCTCTGTGAAATCCCCAATCGCAATCCCAGTCCACTGACCGCAGACCAAGTTTGATGGACGTGCACTCAACACTTTCGCCCAGCTGACATTTACACTAATAACCCCCTTTACAACCCAGTTACACCTATACAACACCCCCCGCCCCTTTGAGGCCACACCCCCAGAGGCAATCCTGTGTGGCTTATCAGTTTTCAATCACATTTTGACTCGAATTTTGGTACATTTTGTGTGTGTTTGCCTGGCCATAAATCAACAAGACGCCCGATAATCCTCAATTCACGGCTGCCACTTCACGTGGAGAGTTGAAAGTGAGAAGGAGACGGAGAGGGGGGAAATAGGCACCTTACCCCCAAAATAGATAAACATTGACAGCTTGACATGTGTTCAAATACCAAATCCATCCCCTTTTCGAAAAGGAAAAGTCCTTCCACGGATCGAAAACGTGTTTTAATTTTTATTGTTCTGCGGTTCAAGGTTGATCTATTTTTTTTTATTGCTGGGGAAAAGAGCAGCTGATGAAAAATCGAGAATAAATGGGGGAAAACACCTAGGGGTTCGTTACTCCTTGCCACGTGTCATGAAAATCTGTTTTTCGTTTTTTCCCCTAAAAAATATGCTTATAAAATTGTTAGAAGTTTTATAACATTTATAATGTACTGTTCTATACATAAAATAAAACCATAAAAATCATTTAATATTCTTGAATGAAAAATTTAGTTTTGTAAAAAAAAATATTAAACAAGATTTGGCAATTTAAAGTACGATTTAAAATTGAATTCAATCAAGTGAAAACCCAATAGGAAACTGCTGACAAATTCAACGGGCAATTACCGAGCCATTAACCGGTGATGTAACCACTCATCGGCTTCGTTACTTCAGTTCAAACACAAGCACACATCAACTTTCACAGAGGACCTTGGCACAAGACAGGACTCTGCCTCGAAGACCATAATAAAGTAATAAAATAGAGGGAGCAGAGTAAGAAAGGCGAAAGAAAGGTAAATGCCGGCGAGGCCAACTAAAGAGCCGCAAATGCTGTCTGCTGTTGCCTTGCCTCGCTCCATGTCCTTCTGTCTAATTTATCATCAAACCGGGCCAGGACAAAAGGATAAAGGACATGCGGCGGTGTAGTGACCATGGAACCAGCTGGCTTCCTGACCAAACCGACGGAACACAAAACACAGCGCTCAACTGAAACCTGCGGGTGTTTCTGGCTGCAGGTATATGTGCCAGGGTTTATGACTAAATTGAAACAGGTTGAGCTGAGATGAGACAGGTGAGAGGACCTCAAAAAGGAACTAGAAGTTTTTTTTTGTGGTTAAATGTGGCATAGAAAGGTGGGTGAAGAATGGGATCAGTAGCGTACAAAAATTAAATATGAACTAGTATTTGACAACAACTAATAAGTTCAAAATATTACGTGGATATTTTAATATTTTTTTTAATAAGTTAAACTGAAGTTTTTAGATTCCACTTTAAGTTCTTGTTTCAGCGATCACTACCATGTAATTAAATCTGTGTCGGCATGTTTTTGTTAGAAGAATCAGTAGAGGCGCCTCGAATTCTTGCTTCTTCGAACGGGAAACTCTTCTTCTGGAAGAAGACCCTCCTCCGCTAGGTCTTGTCAATCATTTGACTTCTTCACTTGAACCGATATCTGTTTACACAACACACTCGCACACATTCCGAGATCAAAGCGACCACTTGAACACTTAACCCAAGGCGAGCCCCGGATAAGCCCGAATCCCGACTCCGACTCCGACTAAGGACTCTCGACTGCCCTAAGGCTTATCTCACTTACAAGTAATTGTAATATTATCCCTAATAAGCAAAAGATTGATAGCATTCCAGGGAAGGCCCATAAAAAAGGGAAATGGTGGGTGGGGGTCTGGGGAATTATTAGGAGCGTCCGAGGAGCGGGTCTCACTCGACACCGGCTTGAAAGGACACAAAGGATGGCCGGCCGGCTATCTGCTTACTCTTCTCATCATCACTCGAGTAAACAATGTCATAAAATCATCAATCAAACCGG